ATATATACTATATATATATATATATATATAATGTGTTTGAAGATATTATAACTGTCTCTTATACACATCTAGATGTGTATAAGAGACATGGATCACCTTCTGTGATGTCCATTCTTAACAGATCCTTGCACTAGAGAAAGGTTAGGCAACGTACAATTTCCCCGCCATTGTGTTGGGAAGTGGGCAAGAACTGTCCTAAACGTACTTTAAGACAAAATAGAAGAATACCACTTCAATAATATTGTTCCATTTTTGTAAACCACCTGTATTTGTTAATGACTAAATGCTCCATAAAATATATTTTTTCACACTGGAAATTGTTATTTCTCAAGTCACCAATTTAGCCTATGCTAAATTGCTATTCTTTAGTGATTTTTTTGAGGTGGGCATGTGGATAGTGTAAATGATCCAAAAGATCCCTCTCTCAAAGAAGTTCTGCTCTGGAATTAGTGCTGTACAACACCTTATTGAGAATACATACTTAACTTTTTTTTATTAAGGAAACATGCAGAGGTGTTAAGGGGGGGTAGTGATTATTCACAGGAACTATGTATGTGTCTCAGCATGCTTTTCATGCTGGGGCCCCGGATTCAATTGTATCGAGTGTTCTAATCATTTAACTTGTTTATTATTACAATTTAGTTTATAATATTATACCATATTTTCAATAATTGGTATTAAGTTTTTGTTTTAAAAATATGGACATCAGTTTAGAATGTAGTTTTTATGCTGTAATTGACACATATACAATACTTCCTTAATTATAAAGTAATTATTTTTAATATTTTTAACTTATAGTGTTTGAAGTATCCTTACTTTCAAGTTGGACAAAATCTTGGACCAAAAACCCCAGTTCAAACTAAGCCACAAAGTATTGAATCAAAGAAATACAGTTATGGCCAGGAAAAACCCAAGCCTAATGTGATGGGTAATAATGATGTGACATCTCAAGTGGAAAGGAAAGAGGACAAAAAGGACGATTTAGATGATTTCTTATCATCACTTGGCAAAAAGAAAGAGAAACCGGCACAAGCAGTTGCACCGGCGAACAAACCAAGGCGCCACTGGGATCAAGCTGAAGCAACGAAAACAGACACTACAAAAACAAACGCTAGAAAAACAAACATAGACAGTATAGACGATGATTTTGATTTTATTATGACTTCTATTAAGAATAAGCCTGTTGCACCAATAACCAGACAGCCACCTGCAAAACAAAAATCATCATTTGATTGGGGTGATGATGATTTATTTGAACCAAAAGAGAAACCGTCTTATAGTAATATTAACAAAGTGCAATCTCATGCTGCCCGACGTTTGCTAGAGTCCGGTAACTCGTCAGCTTCATCTGCGAAACAGTTTTATTTTAGGCAGTCATGTTACCTACCTGGTAAGGAATGCAGTGGTTATTTCTTACTAATGATGCTTGTCAATTCTGATAAGTTTTAAACTTAAGTTATGTCTACTTCATTAATAGAATCATCTATTGCATAAAAATGATTGCTAAAATTGAAGCAAGTTGTGGACATTTCTCTTTTCAGGAATGAACTCGAAGAGTCCATTGAAGGATTCTTCAGCAGGCAGACCCCCAGTCAAAGCAGGCGTAGGAAGAACTAACAGTATATTTGGTAAGTAAAGAAAGGCCTAGTGCAAGAGTTCCTATTAATAATGAACAGTGAATGTTGTAGCTGAATTTTATGTTAGAATGATCAAGCAAACAACTAAAAGTCCAGTAGTGTGTACTAAGTATAACTAGGATATGGGTGGATTTATTGAGGTTGTAGGATAATGTGAAATCACTAGTGCTGCAAGAGAACAGATGGCCAGTGTATTAAGTTCTGTCCATACTATCCAATTTTATGTGACAAATTTCTGTCATGTACCCATATTTGGACATGATGGATGTCATATTACACACGAATATGGGCGTACAGTATCACATTTGTGAGCTGTTTTGACAAAATGAGTCTTGTGGTACAAAAAATGAAAAATTAGTTATTGATATATTTTATTTTATTTCAATTACATCTAACAGCGGAATCGCCCATTACAGGATACAATATAATATAAAATACAGTAAAATACAAACAATAACAAAACAATAATATTTAGATAGATGACTATAAGCTTTATTTTGGTCTTTAAATCATGTTCTTAAGTTGAGTAAAACCGGAGTAAGATCATTTTAAAATTCAGATGTCTAAAACATACTAATGAGAAAATCGCTTCTAAAGGTAAACAACTGATCAATTTTGTGTTGGTTTTCTTATCAATTCTGAAAAATAGCTTTACAAAATGTGCCTCAAAAAATGATTACCTTGGGTTACTCAACTCAGAACTTTTGCTACTATGAAATATACATTAAACTTATTAGAAACTTTTGGAAACCAATTTTTTGTCAAAATATCACTTCAGATATATTTTCTTTAATACATCAAATTGACCTGGTGTACCACAAGATTTGAATGGACGGATAAAATTAATTGGGTTTTCACGAAGACAAGTGTTATAAATGTTTTAATTGATGGGGACAATTTTTGTGACAATCATTGTCTCATTGTCGTGTGAACACTAGGTCCAGGGTCAAGTAGCTATGGTCGGAGGAACAATAGTGGATACAGTGGAAGTAACTATGGTGGTAGCAGTTACATGCCAACATTTGGTCAGAGAGAGATACAAGGTGGTAGGGTGCAAGGTGTCAGTGGTAGGTGTTCAGTTTCATTATTCTCATCAATTGAAAATAAACATAATTAACACAGTTACACCATTCTGAATAGCAGCTGTTCACACACAAATCTGGGGTACATGAGTGATAACTGCAGAAATACTTAAATTTTGTCATGTCACATATCATAATGGTGTTATCATATATTAGCAGGAAAATAGGGTGTAAACTTGTCACTGGCAATGAAATAGTACTCCTTATTGCCTCTGCCAACTGTCTGTTTTCTCATTGCCCCCACTTCTGCAGTCTTTCGTACTGCCAGCAACATAACACAACAAATATACATACGTTATTTGCATGTTAGTTATCGTCTAGGTGTATCTTCCCCGAACCACCAGCCGTTAAGTCTGTGGTTCTACAATGTATAACAATGAAGTAATAAACACTAGAATGTTACTCCAGTTTTGATGAGTATAACCGTCCCCAGTGCCCTCAGGAAGAACCAGTGGGACGAGTATACTCGACACTGGCAGCAAATGTGTTTTTCAAATGTGTCTCCCTCTTATTGTATAGGTTGCGCAAAACATGATAATAATGGAGTTGTTTAAATACTTACAGATTATAGTTCGTGGAAGGCAACAAGGCCTGCAGCAAGCAACAACTCAACCAGTATGAGACCAGCTCAAGCAGTACATGGACGTACAGACTGGGCCTCAAAGTAAGTGTGCACCAGACAACAAAAGTTACTCTGTCTAAAATATCAAGGGCTAAGTGAGAAGTACCTGTGATCTGCCCATACCAGGCCTCAAATTTTACGGCAGCCACCATGGCCTTTGCCGACGGTGCCCTCCCAGTTGGCCTTGGTGCCCCTGAAAATGAAGCACTATGACGCCCACTACTTGCCTGCCCTTTTGCAGCCTTGGCCTCGGTGCCCTCACAATGCTTATTATAGATCGTTTGACACGTAAAATAAATCTAAATAATAACGTTCAAATCTTGAAAGAAAACATGAAAGCCAAAACGTAGGTCGCCCAGGCTAGCCTAGGCCTAGATAAGGTTGCAGTGACAGAACATGAGAGAATTTCCATGTGTGTTGATACGAACTGTTTTTGCGGTTACCGTTGTGTGCGCATGCGTCTGACTCGAGTGGTAATTGCAGTAAACGTCCTCTCCGATGACGATGCTCTGAGCAACAACATCCGATATTGAACTTCTTGAACTTTGACTGTTTTGTTTACGATTGCCGACCGCCCAAAAAAACTAAAAGTATATTCCAACATTGAATCGATAATAGTTATACTATTAACAAAGTCATTTTATCATTGACAACGATGGCTTGGCTAGGCCTAGCTTGCCTAGGACTAGCCTGGCTACAAATCAAGGCATTCATGAGAGATTAGTACTGAGGTAAATCAAATTTTGCCTTGGTGCCCTTTTATACTTGAAATTTTGGCCTTGGTGCCTTTTAAAATCATGTCATACCGGAGGCCATTTGGCCTTGCCCATAAAATCCCCAAATTCGAGGCCTGCCATACATTGATGTGACATGACAACATGCCCATTTATGTGCAAACCACAGATATTTGTCAAACTGATAGCAATGGACAGACTATAAGTATGATACATTTCTGTTATTATAGCCTGACAAACATTTTCTGTTGGTTTCATAACTACTGATATTTTATATAGTGGTTTCTGCTGTAAAGCCTGTTTCCGCTTGCGAATTTATTTGCGCGAGTCAAAACCATTGGCTAATGCACATTCACATTTCTATCGGAGTTTTCGCTTCAGCGAAATTGGTAGTTCGAACTGCATTATCAGGTACTTCAAAACAAATCTTTGCAAATAAACCTCTAGTTTCAGCCAATCAGAAAATACCTTCATTTACAGACTAAAACATGCAATATCAGCCAGTTATAAACTCTTATATGTACAGACGACCCTGCAGTGTCTACCAATTAGAAACACGCATTTGTACAGACGGACTTGCCGTATCAGCCAATTATATTTATAGATAGATCTTTATTATCAGCCAAGTCAATTTGGTGATACTGCTTTAAAGGAAATTGCAAAACATTTTTTTAATCGTTCCATTCTCTCCAGCAAGGAGACTAAATTTTGATGTACTTGGTGACTTTGTTACAGGTACATTCATCTATTATTACATGGTGGTAATGACATGCCACCATCAAAAATGCGTGTTGAAATGGCATTATGAAAACATAAAATGTTGGGATGGAATTAAAGTTGGCTTTGTGAGGCATGCGCACATGTGTAGTTAAATTTATAATGTTGAGTTCATTCAGCTTGGAATCCGTTGTCGCAGACTGCTTTTCTGACCACTAAAAAACAAACATCGACAATCCGATACTAGTTGCGAGTACAGCCGTCAATTATTAGTCTATGCGTGGCATTCGTTTTATGGTGTTAGTTTTTATTTTATTAATTTTGGGTACTTTGCAATGTCTGTTGCATCTAATTTTTTTTACCGCGAGCTTGTAAAAATGCTTCTATAAACTGCAATTTGATTTGTGAAAATTGACCAAGAAAATGAAAAGTTATAGCAATTTAAAATTTACGAATTTTATAAAATTCCATGTTTTTATGTAACATTAACCTGTCATTTTGACAATGTTGGCATAAGGTGCCGAAAACGAACATTTGAGTATATACCAAACATTTTAATTTTTTCTGCGAAGTGAGCCTCATGAACGCCTAGAATGTCGATGCCAGAGTTATAACCTTTGATGTCCCGAGATGTGCGTCCTTCTGTTTAATTGCCTTGACTTAACACTATAAATTTTCTGACCATTTTGATTCTTTAGTAGCGTTTATTTTTATAAATAACTTTCAAATTTTGTATGTGCAATTATGTATAATTGCACATAATCTCTACTGTTTCAGTGTTTGATTTATCTAATTTTAAAATTGCAAAAACTGTAGCGTTCTACTTATTTGTACTTGACCTGAGGTGAAATTCCCTAATGAATAATAATAATTCAAAATATGACAGTTTCATCTCAAAATATTGATGTAATTTTCTTACCTAGAAAAGGTAATTCCTGCAGAAATATTGGCTAGAGGGCCCGATGCATTTAAGGTTTATCAAGCAGCCTTAAAAGAGGGAGAGAGTGACTGCAACCTGGTTAGACTCATGGTAATGGGCCAAGAAAATGTCGGCAAGACCTGTCTGATCAACTCCTTATTAGGGAAGAAGTAAGTTAATGTGTACAAAATAGACATTGTTAAAGTGAGTTGGTTTTGGAGATTGAAATTAGAAAAGAATGGAAGGAGCCTACTTTGGTTAATTTTCAGTATGTCTGGCTTCCATTTGAGTGTTGCAGACTCACAACACACTTTATATTCTTATACAAAAGTAAACAATATGTGAGGAACTACTGTACTACAAAGCGGTTATATTGGGTATAACATCAAAGCAAACCGCTAGGTGACATTTTTTTCACACAATAATAAGCCTCTGCTCAAATATATTTCGAGAGTTTTAAAACATTATTAAAAAATTGGTGACTTGGAAACAAACTGACTTGGTGACAGTATTTATGCTCAGTGTTTACCTCTAAATCAGCAGAGATACCCTAGTCAGCGCTGGGTGTGGAAAACCCAGTGAGCGATTGACCTAGGCCCCTAGGAGGCCTTTCAAAACACTGTATATTTAATCTGAATTGAAATGTAAATCAAATTAACATTAGACTCATGAATCTATGAATCATTTAAAATGTATACGTTGTTATAAAAAGTGTCTTCTATGGTATCTTCATTACATTTTAGACGATTTAATAAACACCACTTTCGACTCCTCCCAGTGCATTAGCATAGCTCTTAGGGGTTTTTTTTTGTCAAAATCATGTCCACACAGCTGAAATGTGATGACGTCATCTTTGGTGACTAATTCGGTCTTTTGTTAATGATTGAAATTGTCTAAATTTTATGAGTACATTATTTTGTGAAAGGAGTGACTTGATTGCTTTGAAGGTAAGTTTTATGCCAGTAAAATATTTTATGGAAATATAAATTTTTGGAAGATGGCATTAGAATCACGGGGTCTTGGGTTTCATTTATGAATTTTTGTTATGTCCAACACCCAAGCCGAATAGGCTGACGCAAGTCAATGACGACTGCTATGCCAAGGTGCACATTCTAACAGAACGTTATCAGTGACTATCCACTGACATTGTCACCGAAAATTAGCAGACCTGTGACTTGTGAACGACTCTCGTAAACAGTGTGACCACTGCTTGGGTATTTACCCAAGATCTTGGGTATTTTGACTTGGTCTTGGGTTCTTGGGTATTCCGTTCAAATTCTTGGGTATTTTATTTTTACTAAGAAAATTAAATATTTTTGTTTCATGAATATTGCCTCATGAATATTAATTTTAATAATTAACACAAACAATTACAATAAAAAATGGTTTATAAATTGAACTAAAAGGGAAACTATACATGCGAAAAACACATTTTTTTTCAAATTTTAATGCACTTTCAGGAAGCTTGGGTAATTTTGGGCAATTTTTGCTGAATCTTGGGTAATTTCGGCCCAGTCATTGGGTATATCAAAAATTGTCAGTGGTCACGCTGCTCGTAAATCCTCGAATAAGCGCCGCGCCGCTCTCGATTAAGCGCCGCACTAAACCTGATTTTTTTCACTAAGCGCCGCTCTCGAATACATGCCACAGCACTCAATCAAAAGTATATATTGCCCTGTGTGTAATAAAACCCTTTGAGAAACAGGGTTTTAAATACATGGTATACAGTGTTAAAATGAATAAATAACATAATGAAGACGCAAGCATTTATAAACATTCATTTATGATACACCTACTAAACTGCGGGAAGACGTGGAGATAGGTAACATGGGAACGGGCATCGAAAGCGCAACGACAATCTTTTTTTATAAGCGCCGCTTTCGAATAAGCGCTGCATTGAAGCCTCCAAAAAATTTTATAAGCGCTGCTGCTTATTCAAGCATTTACGGTAGTCTGTCTGGTCTAATCTGATGGTTGTCCTGTAATGCCAAAATTGGTCCAGGCCAAAAATGGACAGATTGTGGCCACTAAAATCAGTCTGCCCGACTAATTTTGGGCACTAAAATCGGTCCACCGGGTCGATTTTGGCCGCTATAACCGTTCCCTCTTGGATAAAATTGGTCCATCAGCCTGGCTGCTTGTAACTCGTCTGCTGTCCGTAGGGCATGGTTGCTACTCCCGTGAATGGAAGTAACTTATGTTTCTCCAACACTTGCAAAATCTGGTGCAGTGACAGAATGATTTGTAGTAAGCTTTTGTGGACATGTTTTATAAAGAACCCACTTGATAATGCATTTCCTAGGCCTAGGCAATACACAGCAGTATGTATCGTTTTTGGTATCCGTGCTTAGGTTTGGGCCTAGAATTTGGGCCTAAAATGAAATACAAAACTGATTTATTATTTTCAAATACTCTTGAATATTGTGTGGGGTATTAGATCATACAATAGATATTGCATGAAAATATAGGAGTCAGCAATGCTTGTATTTCACCACGGGTCACATTAAGCATAACAACTCCCTGCATTAAGCAAGCACAAAACCAAACACAACAAGGTAAAACAATAAACTAAAGCGAACCAACACAATTTACTGTATTATTTTACTTCTTTTCTAAAGAGTAAACTCAGTATAGGTTTACTTGGCGTGAAGAGGAATTAAATTTTGGCGGCTGTATACTCAATTGCACACATAACAAATGAAAACATATATAATGAGAGAAAGATGAGGTACTTATCTATGATTTGATTAAAAACAAATATACAGGTATAACTACTAAATAGATGCTGGACCAAATTTGGCTTCATGTGGACTACATTTGCCAAGTACTTTTGAATACAAAGTTGATCCGACAGACCGATTTTAACCCCGGACCAAATTTTCCCTGACAGGCTGAACATTGGCTGACAAAATTAGAGTTAGCCTTTAAATTGCATAATGACACTTGGTTGATAGAGCATCAGAATTTAATTCCGTAAATGGCAAGTTCTGTTAAAAGACAAAATTCTGGCATATGGCTATGTTTTAAGGTGCATATTTGCCCACAATGTCATGATTCAATGATGCATAACTATTTTTTTGTTTAAAGGTTTAACAAAAGACACATAATTACGGAAGTCTTAGCCATGACAAGAAGCCTTGTGTTGGATAAAGCTGATAAGACCAAGTGGATAGAAAAGGAAATTGATCACAGTAAGGTTTATCATCTTTTACTCAACTAGAATTTAGACATTGGTGTCCATGGTTTACTGTTCTTGGAAATATTCTTATTCTATATTCTGATAAAAGAGATATGTGAAAAACAGTTGTGGTTCGTGCTTCTAACTTTTCTTTGCCATTGGAAATGCTATTTATCTTCAGTTGTCTTTCACCATTATTGTAGAATACTGAATGTTATAACCATTACTCACTTCATGCATTTTCGTTAGCAGAATGGTAACTTCAGTGCTAAAACTCATGGTTAAAGTATACAATTAGTAATTGACTTTTTTTTTCAAACATCAGAAAAGTATTTTTGTATAATTGGGAAAAAAGTAAATAGTGAATACACCACAGTTGATTTGTGTGATATTTGCCTTATGCCTTATTTTCATCCTAATAATATGAAACTAATCTCCTATAACAGAAGATGAAATCAAGGAAAAGCATGAGAATGCTCTTGCAACAAAAGCAGCTGAGGATCTACAAAAAATAGTAAGTTTCAAACAAACCAGCAAGATTATTAAAATAAAAAATGAATGTATTTGAACAGAAAAAAAGTTGCAAGCTTACCATCTAGATTTTAACATGGAAAAAAAGATTTAAAACAAGAAGTTGAAGTTGAAGTCCAGGCTAGTATAGAAAAAGAATATAGAATGCACAGTAAAATAAACATTATATTTAGCATTTAAATTAATTTATAGAACTCTGTTTAATTTATGTAGGCTAGAGTATTCACATTATTTTTATTACAAATTGTTAAACTGTAGTAAATAATTGTAGGGGAAAAATGGACACACATTTTAAGTGGTAAGTAGGTGTGAGGGCATTGAAATAGTTTGCGTACCAATTTTTGATTGATATCTCTATTTTACACAGCCATGTTCATCAAATAAAACTTGAAAAAAGATCCTGAAACTATGCTCTGAATAGCCCAGCAGTTCCATTAGACAAGATAAGCTATTAAAAATGAGAATATGTATGACAGAAATAAACTTTTTTTTAAATTTTTGTAGGAAGACTTATCAAGTCCTAAATCCACAGGTATGATTTTTTTTATTAGCAAAAAACTATGTTTATATTACAATTAATTTCAAACCTATCATAATTTAATCAATTTTCTAATAATTGTCATTTATCGTCTATATTTATCATTTATGTTCTATATTCCTATAGGATTTTTAAAAATGAAAATCAAGTAATTAATGATCAAATGTGGTTTAACATCATTATTAACAACAAATTTTTTATTGCATTTAAAATACTAGGGTAAAGAATGTATTTCTTGGTTGGTTAAATGCTTTAAATTTATATAATTAAGAAGAAATATACATCTTATTTTAGATGATTTCTTCGAGAGGGCATTTATTTCGAATTATGCTATGGATTGGGAGGGGTGTTTATTAAAGGGGATGTTTATTCAAAATGGGCATTTTTTTAAAATAAATACAGTTTAATTATATCTAGAACATTATAGTATTTTATCTTTTTATGTACCTGGATACACCACTACTTTGTCGTAAAATTATGTTCTACTATACCTATCTAACCCATAATTTGTTGTTTTCAGGGTTTAAAATGTTGGTAACAAATAACGATCAACAGAGGAAAAAATCCAGTGATGGTATGTTTTTATGTATCAAAACAAATAGCTTAATGTATCTTGCAGTGAAATTGTAAAATGTTTTCATGATTGATTTGCATACTGCAACTACTGGTATTTGAAAAAAAACATCAGGCAACTTGGGTTGTGTTTCTTAACTTTCTTCTGATTCTTCTTCTTTATAGGGCCGATCTCAATTAAACTTGGTCAGTAGAACCAGTGACAAGTAAAATAGTACAGTCTGGTACTTTGTATATGCATTGGGATTTGGGGTCAAAGTTCATTAAGGGTGTAATAACTGCTAAATGAATGGAATCCGAATACATGGAGTGTAGTAGCCAAGTGAATGAACACACATTTATATAAATCCAAAATTGAATGCTGATTGGTCATTTTCTTGCTTGGAAGTCAATGCAAGACCCCCCGCAACGATTAAGGCCCGGCTTAGAAAAGTTAAACACGGTGGCGTGCCAGGCCTAGTTACTATAGGAACATAGCCCGGCTTGAGATAAGCCACCTAGTTCAGACTGGCAGGTGGATAAACCCGGTGAGTTGAGCCAGGTTTATCCACCTCGTCTGAACTAGGCCAGAAACTCAGCACCATACCATAGATTTTTACATATTTATTTTCCATATGAAAATCTTGTTTCAGATACAACTGCTGATGAAGAAACCAAACAAAGTACAATAAATACCAATACTGAAATATATCAAGTAATTTCAGATTTTTAATCATTTTTTAAATTAATGAACAAGTTTTGTTTGGTCGAAATAGTGTTGATTTTATGAGAAAATTTTTTTTTTTCTGGTTTTCTTAGCCACTTTAATTTAAATGTTTTGAAAGTGAAACTAATACCAGTACCAATCACATCTCAAGTAATATCAGATTTCATTTAGATATAAACAAAAAACGTTTTCAGGCAGATCCAGAGATTTTCTGAGGGTGGGGGGGGCACAATATGAAGTTCACGCCGCCACGCCCACTTCAGCCCCACCATGGTTGGTGAAAATAAGTGGTAAATAATCAAGCTCTCTTTTCGCCCACTGCTGTATCGCCACTGAAGTCATGGGTGCACTCCCTTTTTTTGCTTTTTCCTCTCTTTAATTCAAATTTGTCACCCTCTTTTTTATTTTTCGGTTTGACTGATGGGGGGGGGGGGGGGGGGGGTGAGG